ACCAGATTGCAATACGTGCAACTTGTGCGTCGTTTTCGTTTTTGACTATCGTGCTACACTAATCGTAGGTATCTTGACCAATGTTTCGACATTACCGTGGAGTTTATCAGGGCAAATTATTTAAGTTAAACTACCTTCACTGCAATCATGTCTAGGAAAAGAGGGCTTAAACGTCTCCTCCTAGCCCCTATTTTCGGCAATTGAATACGACCACTCCTTTTATCATTCCAACCCTTAACATCGTTTAGAGTGTGAGGATCCTTTTGTTCATCCCACCCTAACATCGTCTAGAGTGTGAGATCCTTTTTATCATCCACCCCTAGGATCGTGTAGAGTGTGATGATCCTTTTTATCATCTCCCACCCTTAACATCATGTAGAGTGGTGAGGATCATTTTTATTCATCTCACCCCTAGAGATCGTGTAGAGTGTGAGGATCCTTTTTATTCATCCACCCTTAACATCATGTAGAGTGTGAGGATCATTTTTATCATCTCACCCCTAGGATCTGTGTAGAGTGTGAGGATCCTTTGTCATCCCACCCCACATCGTGTATTGTTGTGATGATCCTTTTTATTATCCCACCATAGCATTGTGTAGAGTGTGAGGATCCTTCTTATCATCCACCCTTAATACATCGGTGTAGAGTGTGAGGATCCTTTTTATTTTTATCATCCCACCCCTAGGATCGTGTAGAGTGTGAGGATCCTTTTTATCATCCCACCCTTAACATCGTGTAGAGTGTGAGGCTCCTTTTTATCATCTCACCCATAGCATCGTGTAGAGTGTGAGGATCCTTTTTATCATCCAACCCTTAACATCGTGTAGAGTGTGAGGACCCTTTTTATCACCCTATCCCTAGCGTCGTCCTATGTGAGTGTGTGTGACGGTGCGCGGCGGTGTGCGCAGGTGGTGGACGGCGTGTCGCTGGTGCGCGACGCCGCGGCGGCCGCTACGGAGGCGGCGTCGGGCGCCAAGTCGGAGCAGCAGCTGGCCGAGGAGCTGCCCCGCGCGCTGGGCGACCGCGACGACGCGCTCAACTCCATGATCGCCGACCGCGCGCTCTCCTTCCTGCAGTCGCACACCCTGCAGCTCAAGTTCCCCTCCGCTCTCACCGAGGAAGGTACGTTCTCCACGCGACATGCCTCAACGGCCGGGGTCTACCCTCTGTGGGAAAAGGCACGGCCCGAGTGGACGGCACTCAACGGGCATCAACTATCAGGGTCTATCATGTGTAGGAAGGGACACGGTCTGGGTCGTTGGCACTCAACGATCCTCAACGGACAGGGTTTACCCTCTGTGGGAAGGGA